TGGTGAGCTTTGGTCTCCTTTTATATAAATACTAGCTGAACCCGGTGCGCTTCGCTACCCCTGTTGATTTTATATGCATTCAAAATTTTATTTACGAACATATGTTGGATAAAGAAAAACAAATTTAAAAATTAAAAAAAAATAAATATTGCACTAATTTAATGCGTTAATAAACAAAATCATTACAAAAGCAGTAACATGACATGCATACACGAAGGATTTGTCCTTTGGATTTATTTATTTCATAGCAAATACCAAGCGTGCAGGAAACTGCAATTTTTTTAAGTTGAGTGGCATTTCTATTGCAATTAGTGAATTCGAGATAGCAACATACTTCGCCGTAATAAGCGTATTTCAAATAAATTGTTGTGTTGTTTTTTTAGTGTTAGCCTAAGGCGTTGTGGGTCAATGGTTCTTATTAAAATCATATCCCAGTCTGATCCGATTTAAATATAATTTTACAAAAATTACTTTTACACCAAACTCCGCCACACCTTTCATATTTCATTGAAATTGGTGCGTCAAATATGTGAAATCGGCCGAGAATATATATATGGGAGCTATATCCAAATCTTCACTAATTTCCAATTAATTTATCACATTTATTATTATAACCAAATTCCGCCACACATTCTGAATTTCATTGGAATCGGTCATATATATCGTGTTTGGTGCATAATATGTATGAAATCGGCCGAAATATATATGTTAGCTATATCCAAACCTCCACTGATTTCAATATAATTTGGCAATTTTTTTCTGGTGCCAGATTTTGTCTCTCTCGCTTTGGGTGCATAAAATATGTGAAATCGGCTGAGTATATAAATGGGAGCTATAATCACATCTGAGCGTATTTGAATATAATTTGTCAAATTTATTTTTGTACCAATTTTAGCCACTCATGCCGAATTTCGTTGGAATCGGAAATACGTATCGTGTTTTGTGAATCAAATATGTGAAATCGGCGGAAAATATATATGGGAGCTATATCCAAATCTGAACCGATTTTAATATAATTTGACTAATTTATTTTCTAATCAAAATCCCGTTACATATTCCAAATTTCTTTGGAATCGAACATACATATCGTATATGGTGCATAAAATACATGGAATCGGTCGAAAATATATATGAGAGCTATATCCAAATCTGAAACGATTTTAATATAATTTGACAAATGTATATTTGTTTTAATTTCCGCTACACATTCCAAATTTCATTCAAATTAGAGATACATAGCGTGTTTGGTGCATCAAATACATGAAATCGGTCAAAAATATATATGGGAGCTATATCCATCCATATCCATATATTTAATTTGAGAAATTCATTTTGGCTCCCAATTCCGTTACTTATTTTAAATTTCATTACAATTGGAAATACATGTCGTGTTTGGTCCACCAAATACATGAAATCGGCCGAAAATGTATATGGGAGCTATATCCAAATCTGAACCGATTTCAATATAATTTGGGAAATCAATTTTTTAGATAAAATCTACCACACGTTTCAAATTTCATTGAAATTGGGGATACATAGCGTGTTTCCTGCATAAAATGCTTGAAATCGGCCGAAAATATATATGGGAGCTTTATCCAAATCTGAACCGATTTCAATATAATTTGACAAATTAATTTTCGGATTAAATCCCGTCACACATTCCAAATTTCATTGGAATCGAACATTCATATTGTGTTTGAGGCATCAAATGAACGAAATCGGTCGAAAATATATATGGGAGCTATATCTAAATCTGAACCGATTACAATATAATTTGGCAAACATATTTTTGTTCCAAATTCCGTTATGTATTCCAAATTTGGAGACTGTATCTTCAACCAATCAATAGATATGTGCATATAAAATCTAAATTTTTGGGAGGTACCTCCGATTCTGATGCTATATCTCCAGTTCCAAGTGGAAATTCAAAAATGTATATAGCCTATGTTACTTTCAGGCGATATTGCAGTATATATGGAAATTTTCAGGAAAATCTATTCAGCGGTTTTCGAGTCCATAAATTACAAACAAACAAACAAACAAACAAACAAACATACAAACATTTTCCTCTTTTATAGATATAGATATCGAAAGAAGGTTACAATTAGTACGATAAATATTAATTATACTTTTATTAAATTTCCTAATACTGTATAAATTAACATTGTATTGAATAGAATTTATGCTATTTGTACTTACATTTTTTAATTAATGACTTAATTTATTTTTAAAACACAAAAACGCTGTCATTTGACATTATTTAGTATAACACATATTTCATTTGTAAAATATTACAGGGTGGGATTAAAAAACTGCAACCAACTTTAGACTACTGTCATTTCTAAGCCACCCGTACGACAGCTGTTTAGATTATTCCAGTGACAGCTCATTATATTGTTTTCAAGCGTACAAAAGCATTTTGGAGAGAATTAAATCTTTTGTGTCTCGTATCATCGATCGTTACCGTGATACTGGTAGCATAGCCCGACGTCAACGAAATGGAAATGGAGCAATGTCTGCAGAAATGGTTCGAAAAGTAAAGAAGCGACTTGTTCGAAACCCGCGCAGTTGCCGTAAAATGGCTAGTGAGCTGAACATATCACAAATATTCCACTCGGCAAATATTGAAATGAGCCATTTAAATTGCAAAAAGTGTAAGAACTCACACCGCAACAGAAATAAAATAGACTCAAAAGAGCTGAAGAGTTGCTTCGCTTGGCGAAGGTGGTGAACTGCCGAATTTGGTTTTCTCTGATGAGAAAACATTCGCTGTCCAGTAGTTTGTAAACAAAGAAACAAGTGAAAAAGCAGTAAGTTCGGCCGGGCCGAACTTTAAATATCCACCACCATTTGGGACGAATTAGAAAATTTTCAAAAAATAAAATCCATTAAAAATTCTGTTAAAATGTTTAAAGTATCTAATGCCGATATATGGGGGGATATACGATATTGTGGACCTATATAGACAATTACCTTTCAGGGGTTAAAGTGCTCACAAAGAACTCCTTTTGTGGATTTCCAGACAATACCATAGGGAAATATGGCTAAAATCATCAACATACGGAATGTCGGAGGTACCGTTATATGGGGGATATACGATATCGTTAACCTATATAGAGAATTCGAAATAGTGAACCTATATAGATAATTCACTTCCGAGAAGTACCAACAAGGTACTGCTTGTGTGGATTTTCAGACAATTCCGTTGGAAAATGTGGGTAAAATCATCAAAATACCGAATATCGGGGAGTACCGTTATATAGGGGCTATATGATATCATGGACCTATTTAGATAATTCTCTTCCGAGGTATAAAGTACCCACTGGGGACTCCATGTTTGGAATTTCAGACAATTCCATTGAAAAATGTGGCTAACATAATCAAAATACCGAATATCGGGGTGTACCGTTATATGGGGGCTATACGATATCGTGGACCGATATAGCCCATCTTCGAACTTGACCTGCGTGAAGAAAAAGGAGGAATCTGTGCAAAGTTTTAGCTTCCTATCTTAATTCGTTTAGACTGTAGCGTGGTTACAACAGACGGACAGACGGACGGACGGACAGGGCTACATCGTCTTAGAATTTTACGCTGATCAAGAATATGTATACTTTGTTGTGTCTAAAATGATTATTTCGATGAGTTACAAACGGAATGACGAACTTAATATACCCTCCATACTATGTATGGTGGAAGGTATAAAAAAGATCGTATTTACTTGGCCAGCAGAATTCAAGCGCAGGTCATGGTGATGGTGTGGGCCATAACAGCCGATAGTCGCTCTCCGCTCGTATTAATCAATCAGAATAAATGTCAAATATTATCGCGAAAATATTCTGGAGGGTTGTTAAAGTATTGGGCAAGCAAACGTTTTGGCGGCAGACCTTGGACATTCCAAAATGACTCAGCACCATCGCACTTAGCACGCGCCACAGAAGAATAGTTACAAAATGAGGTTCCTCGCTTCATTTCCAGCGCACAATTAACACCAAAATCTCCGGATACCAATCCGTTGGACTTTTGTATCTGGAGTATTTTGGAAAGCAAGGTTGGCTCCTAAAAAATACAAAAGTGTTGATCAGCTCAAGCAAGCGTTTCGTCGGGAATGGACCAAAATGCGGCAGAGCAACATTAGGGCAGCGTGTGACGGTTTCATTGGCCATTTGAAGGCCATAATACATGCCAAAGGCGACCAATTCGAACAAATCTAAACTTATTCAAAAATTTTATGCTATTTCCGACATTTTTGCTTTAATTCAATAAAATTAAAAAAAAAATAAAAATTATGACGTTTGACTTTTTTGCAGTTTTATTACCGCCCATTTAAGCTTTTTTGAAGGTTAGAAATTTAAGGTATTTTCAAGGTTCTTTCATTCCACAGATTGGATGTTAGGTCTTAGAAAGCACAGCCCAGACTAGAATTGATCGCATATTTCAATAATTTGCTGAAGAATTTCCAAATGTAAATAGAGCATTAATTCAGTATGGAAGGTACAAAGACATATTTAAATAGAGTCATAAAAATTTTGATTATGGAACAGCATATTCTCAAAATTGAGTTCCTAAAATCATTTCCTTTTTAAAAGGCCATCAAATTCGGCTTTTTCTGGTTAGACTAAATGTGAATTTTTGTCATGTTCTATAAGTTTCAAAAGCTTTTTATTTAAGTAACTCATTTAGTAAAATCCTATGCCAGAATACAATCTTAACCAATATCTTATTCATAGCCCACAATTGATTAATTAAATTAATTAAAATACGTGTTTGCTACCAAATAACAATTACAGCTTTCAATAAATTATTTATATTTCCTATAGGTAATCTTGTCAGGTCATCAGCATCAATTCAATAATTTATTGAATATAATATCAAAAAATTGCGAGTTAATACAATTTGAAAATGTGAATAAAAATAAAATAAATTCTGCTCGACAGATTATTATTTTGAAACAAAGAATAGCTAAAATATTTGAAGTATAATTAAAAACAAAAGCATGTCGAAAGTAAAATGATATTGTTCTATAAAAAGAGTATACGAATTTACAATAGGTATCAGTTTTTGCTAAACATCTCAATCGACTTGAAACACCCATAATATGGTGAGTTTAAATTTTTCAATTTACAAATTCAATGAAAATAATTGAATACCTTCTTGTAGAAATTTACAATTGTTGCCCTGGCTCTTTTGGTATCATCAGCCTATGCTGCTGTTTTACTTCCCGCCGCATCGGTACCATTGGTTCGTTATTCCGTTCCAGCTGCAGTTCCCTTAGCTCCCGCCTTAGTTCAATATGTCCGCCCATTGACACCAGTACAAACAACATATGTACGTCCTGCAACTTATTTCACTCGTACCGATTATTTGCGACATAAGTAATTCAAAAAATTCTCTCAATACATGATTGAGAAATAAAATAAAAATATTTTAGAGAAAAATTGTTCACTTAATTAGTATGAGTAATGTTGTTGTTAAATGCATATCCTTACAATTGGCTTTGAGCTGATGGTACAATAATTCCATCGACGATGCCTTACAAGCCTGACCAAAGCCAGTAAGGAAAAGTCTAAAGTCGGGCGGGCCCGACTATATGATACCCTACACCACTATGCATATTTAGTAGAGCTCCCGTAACAAAAAAAATTATTTCAAGTAGATCATACCATGGTACAATAAAAAGGCAAGTTAGAGCTACCAGCTGATTACAATTTTTTTCTAAGTGTGCCCGACTTCTGCCAATTTTGTGCATGTATTTATTGTTTTGAAAAATAAAAACAGAATATATTCAGAAGCAATGATTGGAAGACGCTTAAATTGCGAGACGCGCATTAAAGCTATTCGCCAGTCATGGAATTGAAAGATAGAAGTGTTTAGATCATATTTTTGAAAGAAAATCCAGGCATTTCATTCATTTTTCCCGTTGTTTCACTGATTTTAAAAATGAGGAAAAATATTGAATAAATGGAAACAACTTGTTGTTTGCAAATTTGACAGAAAGCGTGCATAGCCTCAGAGCTGTATTTCTGTAGTTTCCCGAAGCTGTTCTACCTCCTTATTGTACCATGGATCATACCACCTATTAACATTTGGTTCCAGAACCGTTATAGATTTCTATAGATTGCGTGATATTACTTGGAAAAGGATTATATAAAAACCAGTAAAGAAAGTCCTAAAGTACTTTATGATACCCTACACCACTTTGTTATCATACAAGCTATGATTATAATTATAATTTAAAGTTCAAAAGACTTAATATGCCGAAGCATTTGTATCTTTTAAATTCGGACTTGTATTGCCCATTTGGAACAAAATTAATTTGAAATCAGATAAAGATATATATGAGAGCTATATCCAAATCTGAACCGATCTCGATAAAATTTAGCAAAGGCATTTCTGAGCTGCATTTAATATATTTCCCCAAATATTGTTGTTACAGAGTGCATATTACGGCTGCGGAGGACAAAAATAACAAATCGGATGAACAATATAAATGGGAGCTATAGCTATATCTGAACCGATTTCGATCAAATTTGGCATACTTATTTTGAGGCCTAATTTGGTTGTATGTGCAAAATTCCATACTATTCGGGCTGATTTTAAACGTTTGGTGCACAATAAAAACAAATCGGACGAAGATATATATGGGAGCTATATCTACATTTTTACCGATTATCTCCAATGTCAATAGGGTTCGTCATCGGGCCAAATAAATGGATCGGACAATAAATGAGAACTGTACTTTGTTTACAAAAATACATGGACAGACGGATGGACGGACAGACGGACATACGGACGGACGGACATGTATAAATGGACACAGAATGTGTCTACCTCGTTTCCTTTTGCCTGTTACAAACAAATACACAAAGACATAATACCCTGACCACCTTGTGGTGTAGGGTATAAATATATATATATCGGAGCCGAGTTGCACAAAATGAAAACGTACGTCCCGAAATTCACTCCATTTGGGCTGATATTACCCATTATATCTTAATCTTAGACGTTCTTGTTCTTGCTTCTAGTCTGAATTCGGTTGGATATACCGAAATCCAGGATTTTTTGACAGATATTGGCCATTTGGTGCACAATTAACCCGTAATAGGTTGAAGATCTTGATAAAATTTAGGTATTTCCGAGCTCTATAAAATATCTGGTACCAAATATCATTGTTGTCGAATGCATATTATGAATTTGAAGGACTTAAATACCAAATCGGATGAAACATATATATTGGAGCTAAAGCAATATCTTAACCGATTTTCACCAAATCTGATGTACTTGCGTCTAGACTGAGTTCGGTCAAATGTGCTAAAATTCACGTCAATTGGACTGATATATGTTATTTGGTAGACAATTAAATCGAAATCGGTTCTAAACCGATTTTGACAAAATTTAATACACTTTTTTCAGAGCTGTATCTGATATCCGATACCAAATTTCATTCTTATGGAGTGCATATTACTCATGTGAATGGCGTAAAACCCCAAATCGGATGAAATGTGTATATATGGGAGCCATATTTATATCTGAACCGATGTACAACAAATTTGAAGTACTGGTTTAAAGGATGAATTCAGTCGTAATTGCCAAAATTCATTCCATTTGGGCTGAAATTAGCCATTTGGTGCACAATTGACCCGAAATCGGTTGAGGATATATATGGAAGCTATATTTTACAGAGATATTATCGAGCAGTATTTGATGTTCGGTAACAAATGTCATTCTTCTGGAGTTCATATTACGCATGTGAGGGACTTAAAACCCCAAATCGGATGAAAAATATATGTGGGGGCTATAGCTATATTTGAACCGATTTTCTCCGAATTTGATGTACTTGCTTCTAGACTAAATTCGGCCAGTTTTACGAAAATTCAGATTATTGCACAATTAACCCGAAATCGGTTGAAGATATATGGCTCGTCCTTGGGCCAAAGAAATATTTTTTTTTTTTGGAAAATTTCGTCACGATCGGATAATAAATGTGACCAGCATATGCGGACGGACGGACGGACTGACTGACATGCATAAATCGACTCAAAAAGTGATTCCATGAAGTTCCTCAAAACAAAAAAAAAAAAAAAACTATGGGCCTATCCCGCTTCCTTCTCCATTTTGCAAACAAATGGGTATAAAAAAAGAACTACTGATGTAAACGTTATAACATTTTGAATGAAATTGTCGATTTGAACTAGGGACTCACAAGGTTCAAGTCGAGACTAAATGTTCATCATTTTAGGAAATTTTTGAATGATGAATGATGCGTTTCCAAATCTGATGCGTTTCTACGAAACAAAATTTTGAATTAGGTCTCCCGAAAACTCGCGAAATTGGCAAAATTGAATGTTGTTTTTTTTTTACATAGAATTTTTTGTGGAATTGTTCCAGGATGACTTTTCAAATGGAAAAATTTAATATTCTTAGTAGAAAACTTTAAAAAATTCCGAAAAACGAGAAATTTTTCATGATACCTCATGTGGTTAGTTCAACGCTTATAACTAAAGAACGCCTGATTGTGACAATTCGTCCCAATTAGGAACGGTCTATTGGCAGAAAAGGATAAAAAAATAAAATCTTTTTTCAATACGCCATCAAAAATTTGAATAATTTTGTAACATTTTGACAAATATTCTTTATTTTTATACTCTCCACCATACATAGTATCGAAGGTATATCAAGGTTGTCATTCCATTTGTAATTCATCGAAATAATAGTTTTGGACCTAACAAAGTATGTATGTTCTTGATCAGCTTAAAATTCTAAAACGATTTAGGCCTGTCATTCCCTCCGTCTGTCCATCAGTTTTAATCACGCTGGAGTCAAAACGAAATAAGATAGGAAGCTAAAACTTTGCACAGATCAGCCTTTTGTCTGCAGGCATGGCTCTACGATATCGTATGTCCCACATACAATGGTACTTCTCAATATTCGGTACTTCGATGATTTTAGCCAAATTTTGTAATGGAATTATCTGAAAATTCACACAAGGAGTTCCTTCGGAGTACTTTACCCCCTGGAAGAGTGTTGTCTACCAAGGTCCACGATATCGTATATTCCCCATATAACAGTACCTCCCTATTTTCTGTTCCCCAATTTCGATACAATGGTACCCCCCTATATTTAATGATTTAATCGACATTGTTTACCAAAATTGTTTCAATATTCAAAGTTCGTAATGGGTACTACAGCCTATGACAAAAATTGTCTATGCAGGTCCACGTCTTCGTATAGCCCCCATAAAACGATAGCTCCCTTTGTTCGGTATTTCTGTTTTACCATTGAACTCTAAAATTGACTTTTAGAACAAAACATTTTTTTTAAGTATTACCAATTTATTACTCAATCATTTTATTTTTTAGGTCAATTCATCAATCATTTACTTGTGACGCAAATAATCGGTACGAGTGTAATATGTTGCAGGACGTACATATGTTGTTTGGACTGGTGTCAATGGGCGGACGTATTGAACTACAGCCGGAGCTAAGGGAACTGCAGCTGGAACGGAATAACGAACCAATGGTACGGATGCAGCGGGTAGTAAAACAGCAGCATAGGCTGATGATACCAAAAGGACCAAGGCAAAAATTGTAAATTTCTAGAAAAAAATGACAATTATTTTTATGTGAAATTGAAAATTTTATATTCACCATTTTCTGGATTCAAGTAAATGAAACGTTTCAGCAAAAACTGATAAACATTGTAATTTCTTAAACTCTTTTATATAAAAATTCTTTTCGATATTAGATATATATTTGGGGTTAATTATAATTTTAATATTTAATTTATTAATATTAAACTTCAAATAAATCCTTAATCTGTTGGGATTTATATTATTTATATTCATATTAAAATTTTGCATTCATGTCTCAATTTTTGGAATTTTATTCAATAGAATATTCAAATTGTTATTTGTTATTAATTTGTATAAAATCAATTGAATTCGCGTCGATGACCTCAATAGATTTTTTTAATTCAAAATAAAAATAATTTATCGAAACATGTAATTGTTATTTGACTGTATATTACTCAGCAACGCCAGGTGTGTTAGACTGTTATTTTCTAATGGGATCAAAATCCAGGACTTTCTACTTATAAAACTCGGTGAAGATGTTTGTTTTGACATAGTAGTTTTTAACAACTTGCAATATTGGATTATTTACATCACATGTAATTGCTTACACAGTTGAAAAAAAAGAATTGAGTTATTCCAAACAAATATTTAAAATGCGAATTGGGTGATATGAATATAGCTAAAACTATCTGACCCGCTGCGCGTTGCTGGACCATAGTTTTAGTGTTTAATGCATTTTTAATACACCATAAATGTTTCTCATATACGCTGTAATCATTTAACTTTTCTTTTAGAAAAAAAAAAGAAGCAAAAAAGCATCTTAGTTCGGCCTGGTCGAACCATTTTGAAGAAAGAAGAAAAAGTAAA